GTACAGCTGGATCATGACCTCCACTCAGACCAACTGGGAGATCATTTCTGTTAATGCTTCATCCGCTCTGTGCGTGACTACAGGTGGATTCTGAGAGCAAATGAAAACAGGATCCCACTGGATGCTGCGTGACTGACGGCGGTAATTACAGCGCCCCCTCACGCGGGTTAGAAGTTAGGGAGGAAAAGAAAACAGCAGCGGACAGACAGGGTGAAGGTTCAAAGATCAAATAGTGACGTGCCGGGGGGGCGGGCTAATGTTCGGTTCCTATCCAGCGACTGAGGAATGTGGCAGAGGTGATGGAGCCGGGTCTTATGAAATCAGCCGAGTAATGAGCTTCGACAGCTGTTCCTCGCAGCCGCCAGATTCCTCCCCGACTAACGAGACAATGAAGATGACCTCCCAGCTCCTCGGGTTTTAAGGAGCACAGTAATGCAGGGGAAGTACTGGGGCCCAACAGGGACACGGTTTACCACCATACTGACCTCAACATACTGAAATACACATGAAAAAAACAATAGAAAAAAAACAGAGTAACAAGAGATGATGGCTGAGAATAGTGGATGACATGTAGAACAGCTGACTGAGATAAATCATCCATATTTTCTTGTTATATATACATATAATCTTCCAATAATCCTCAGAAAATGACAGAATTAGGCGAATTAGGGGTTCCCGGTGATGCTATTTAATAATGAAAGGGTAGAAGGTGATTAAAACAAGAGAGCTCAGCCGTTTCTCAATTCTTGAGCGTTCTCCTGTGTTCGTGATGCATCATCAGCCTCAGCCCCAGCACTGTTCCAATTGCAGAGAACGCACCAAATCCCCGGGCGTTGTCCTTGTCCCGCCCTCTTTACCCAGCATGCATCAGAGCAGACTTGTCCGTTCTTGAGATTTCCCAGCATGCACCGCGGCTGCAGCAGCTTTCAATGAAGCTCTCCATTGAAAGTTAAAAGTTCTCTTTTCTGTTGTTGTTGAATAAAAGTACGTTTTAAGATCATTTGAGGCGAGAATATTATACTTTAAAGTGTCACTATATGGAACATTTACCGATTTAATGCGTAATTTAAAAAAAGATTTCCAAAGTTGAGAGGACCTCGTCAACCAGCGGACCTCCGAGGCTAACGGCAGCCAGGGCTAACGTTAGCCCGTCTGCAGCGGCCCTCTCTCGGCATAGTCGTGTGTGAAGGGCCGCTGGCTCTGATGGCGATTTCTTTGTTTTATTTGGCAAAATTTTCATTTCATTTGTTTTTATCTGACTTTGTCCATCATTATTCCCACACTAAATTGAAAAAGTAATAATTTATTATTATCTAGAGACTATTAATAACAGGAGGTGAAATGCAGCTCTAGATGAGCTGAGCGTGTGGTGATGTCATCATTACGCTTCTGTTCCAATTGACCCATATCTATGATGCGTGTTCGCGTTCTCACCAAGTCCAGACTTCCCTGTGTTCTTGCCAAGACCGGACTCATCGTGAATTGAGAAACGGCCCTAGTCTCTAAAACAGACATGGCTACGGCTTGATGCTAACATGTTTGTTAGCTGTCAGAATCCAGTCAGAATTCAGATATTTCTCATATCATACTGAAATAAAGTTTAAAAATCAGTTAACTTTTTTGATTTTTTCAGTGGCCCTAATCCTCTTCCATATAGTGAAGTCGTCCAGAGGAAGTGATGATCCAAAAACAAATTTTTCGCTACCAAAAGAGGGAAGGATTCAGCAGAAACTGTCGCTAGGCTAAATGTAAAGGAAGCTTTGAACACATTCTTTGCTTTAAACCGGAACGCTTTCAGAGCTTTGGAAAGAACCAAAGTGTTTAGCCGATAAACGTGAAACAGCTCAACCTGTAGAAGCACCTGATGGACAGGAAACGCTGCTAAGCTAATCAGACCAGGTGCTGTTCAAGCTAAATGCTAAAGTGATGCTGTGCTAGCTTAACACTAGTAGCATGACAATACGGTCTTATTTCGCATTTTGTGGAGTATAGATTCATTTTACGTTGATTTTTAATGATTGTTGATGCTCAAAATAAAGTCTGTGTTTGATACAAACGTCTGTGAAAAGTTAATTAAGGGGGCGTTAGCATCTTCAGCTAGCTTATCCAGTTGGTTTTAATGTTTTGCGCAGGGAGGGGTGGCGTCAAAGTAAAACATCTTCCAGCTTTAAAACATACCAACACAAATAAGAAATGTTTGATATTTTAATATTTGGTAGCACAATAAGCATATTAAATCCAATATAAAACTAAAGCAAAAGATTCTCCCTTATTGTAAAAACAAGATTTTTTTATAATATGCTGTTTTCTTTTAGTTATTCCATTGAAATTAGAGCTTAGATTTTTCAAAATGCTTCAATGCCAGAAATTATGATTATATAAAAATACAGCATTAGGCGTCTTTAGCAGGTTAACATCAGGTATTAGCAGCTATTAGCATCAGGCTATTAGCATATATATATATGTGTGTGTATTTGTCAAATACGTCAGATGAGACCAATGCTGGTTTTCTTGAGGGAATTTACGAACAGCGACTCCTTTTTTTATTACAGGAAGCTGAGAGGCCAGAAGGAGCTTTTGTTGTTGAGAACAATATTGCCCGCCGTAAAGAAGCCGCTTTCAACAGAAACAAGGGAGAGTTTTAATGGGTTTGGAGACAAACACCAAGCATAAATCAGTCTAACTGTTCTGGTGAATGAAAGAGGCAGTCTGCAAACTGGCTCTATGATGTCTATGTCTATGAGGCTGCTTAACGGGCAGAAACAAGCCTGGAGCAGAGACCATCAGAAAGTTATTTTAGCTTGATTTTAAATTCATTGCGGCAAAAAATGTTGCCATGACTAATTAAATGTATAAACATCAGTGATTTTCTATCATCCTACTAAATGTTTTTTGTATTTTTAAAATATATCTTACATTTTTAAAATATATTTAAGAATGGAGCAGAATAAAAAGTATTCATTAAACAGAAACAATATATAGAATATAAGAGGTTGTTTTTCAAATGTTGATGGGTCCAAGTATATAAATATTTACATCTGCTTCGGCCAATTTCCACACAAAATGATTCTGTTAGCCGAAGATTAGCATTAGCGTACATGTTAGCATTAACAAATTCCTTCCTGTGCATGCGTGAACAGAATAATAAGATCCGGATTGCCGAAAAACTACATAATAACGGTACTGAAAATACTTATATATACATATATATATATATATTTACTTACAACTAGAATGCTAAACTACATCGTATAGAAAATATTGAAGACTTTTCTGGAAGAAATGGATGCGTTTCTCATTCTCTCCATTGTATTGTGTGACATCATCTCAGAGCAGTCACAGAAACGTTCCAAACGCTGTTTAAGCGTATTTCTTTTTTTTTTTTTTCGTTTTTAGAATAGGCAATATTTACACAATTACAAAAATATTCAAAAGGAAACCCCCGCCGGAAAAAAGGCAAAAACATAAAAAAGTAAGAAAAACTAAGTTTTGCCTTACTGGAAGTTATTCTGTTCACACATGCACAGGACGGATCGTTTTTTCAGGACGGATCGGGGAGCAACTGTCATTAGTAAATGCTAATTCTAATGAATGCAGCAACATCCGTGTCATTTCTGTTAGCGCCAATGCTTAAAAGCTTTGGTTAGCATTAGCAAATGCATTAGCAAATGCTAATGCTAACCAAAGTTGGCCAGATTATGGCGGACCCGGAAGCTAGCTGACAAACAGAACAACTGAAGGTTGGAACAAGTTTTCGCAAGCGCGCCACCTACTGTCTGGGAGGAGTAAAGTTTTTAGCTATTTGCAATTGTTTTTAAACACGTTTACTTACAGCGGCTTGGTAAAATCTAAATTTAAAAAAATGTCTAAATGCAAAAACAATGCTAAACGCTTCGGTCTCTGTTTTAGCATCTGTATACTGTGAAATTGTGGTTTTTACTGACATGTCCATCGGGAGATTGCTGACTTTTCATCCTCCTTAGTGATTAATCCATCAAAATTTAACAGATAAAGCTTTGATTTCTACAAATAATAAATTGTCATGTTAAAGCATTTGCTAGCTGTTTTGTTTTCCAGAAAACTGGGATTAAATTTATACCTTCTTTTTATATTGTTAGACACGTATTAAAAAAAAAATGAAAAGAGCAAAATAATCTTAGAAATTTTACACTAAATCTCTTTACTTAAATATGTTAATTTATTCCTTTTTATTAGCACCTTAAACAATCTTTATTGTCCCATGTGACTGATTCACCAGTTCCTTACACAGTGAAATGTACGGAAGAGGATTAGGGCCAATGGAAAAAAAATAAAATAATAAAATTAGATCCACTGAAAAAATAAAAAAGTTAACATGTTTTTAAATATTATTTCCATTAATCAGGGAAAAAAGTCAGAATTCTGACTTTAATCTCTGAATTCTGACTTTTTTTTTCCCAGAATAATGAATTTTTTTCTCACAATTACCGAGAAAAAAAGTCATTATTTTTATCTAATTGCAAAATTGTAATCTGGCACTGTGGTATTTTGAATTTCTGTGGAATAATTAAAAGCAAACACCACATCATTAAAAACAGGGAATTTCCAAAATGTCCTTTTAAACATTTATAATTCCTCTGGTTAATCTAATTTTTACAATAACGGATAATATTTTCCTAAGGTAGATATCTGGAGCTAAATAATTGTTTTACAATTCTGAGGAAAAAAGTCAGAACTGTGAGATTAAAGTCAGAATTGTAACTTTTTCCCCATATTAAACTGAAGTAAAATTTAAAAATCAATTATCTTTTTTGTATTTTTTCAGTGGCCCAGATCCTCTTCCATAGAAATGTAACAGTTTATACCATCATTATTTTATCGGGTCACTGTGACGAGAAGACGTCTATTAAACCGGCAGCTGCTGGTTTAATGTTTGTGCAGAACGGTTGTGTTTCTGTTTAGCAATGAAAGGCTAACATAGCAAAACGTGGTAACAGAGTTAAAGATGTTGCTGTACTTACGTGTGCAGGGCATGGATGCCGGGTCTGTTTCGGAACGGAAGAAGCCCTTGTCGCAGACGCAGGAGGTGGATCCCTCCCGTACTGAGTAGCTGTGGAGTGGACACTTGGAGCAGGCGCCGTCTGTGGCCAGAGCACGGTAGTAGCCGCTCTTGCAGGCTGGAAGATATCGAGGAGCGGATTAGATGCGATCTATTATAGCAGCAACTTTATAGCAGAGAGTTTAAAGAGACTCCAGGTATGAGAAAATCCAGGATAGCCCAACCTGCTAGAAAGGTACACTACAAAAACGATCTAAAAGTAGATCGATATTTCTTAAATTAAGTGTCTTCACCTTTAATTTGAGTAGGTAAATAAGATGTTGCCAAAGGAATGAGTACTTTTACTCTTAAAATAAATAATTAGATATATGCACTTGAAATAAGAAAATGCAATTATTTTTTCTTCTTTTAAATGTAAACTGTCTTGTTGCATTGGCAAAGTGTCAATGTTAAAATGTTAAAATACTTATTTTAAGAAAAAATGACTCCTTTAGATTTACATTTTCCAGTGTAAGAACCCAAATAGAAATCCTTTAAGGTATAGTGGAGGATGTTCTTTTTCCAGGTGCATCATCTAAATAAATCTAGTTGTCAATCATTCTGGTGATATGTTTACATAAGGTCGTCGTCCTATGCGCTCGTCTGACAAAGTTGAAAAATTGCAAATGAGAAATGGACTCGTGAACGCTCTCGCACGCGTTAAATAGGTGATCCCACTCTGAAACAGGTACGCAGTTGTGCGTTCTTTTTTTTTTTTAAGCAGAGAGGGCGGGTCTTTTCAAAATTTCACAAAAATCCTCCATTATACCTTTAATTGAAGGTCCTTGCAGTAGTTGCATGTGATATTTTACTTTAACAGGGTTACAGAAGACACAATTATGACCACTCTATGTAATCAGAGAGGAAAACAGAAGCTGTTTTATCTGAAGGACGAGAAGAAAACATCCTGATCTTTACTGTTTTCTGTCAATTTTACCAATAAATTATGCTGGCAAAATGTTTCCCATTTTTTTTCTCTAATCCGCCGTCTCTTTACCCCGCCTCATACATCTCTGTTCTATTATCCACGGGCCAGGGGCGGATTTAGGAAACGTGGGGCCCTAGGCAAAGACAATCAGGGGCCCCTCTGAACTGATAACACATAAACAGCCCCATTCTCCAGATAGATAAATGTTAATAGAATAGACATCCATTATCTGTTCTAGGTTGTGTCCCTCTCTTCTTGTTCCTTTTCTTCTTGTTTTCCTCTCTATGTTTTGTACTCAGCTGACTTTTCATGCTGTCTCTAAAGGAATGAAAGATTTTTTCCAAGCACTAAGCTCACTTAGCTGATTGCTCCTTCCTGTGTTTCCAAAAAGGCCAAAGTAAATAACCCAGTCCTTCTTTTCACTGTAGACAAGCCATGATCTGCTTCTCTGTTCTCCATTTTTCATTTGGATGAAATAATAGCTGCATGAATCATGACAGCAGACAAGATAGAGGAGAGCAGGAGGCGGGGTTACCAATCTACTCGCTCTGGAGAGCAGAGTTCGCTGCTTTTAGATGTTGTCTCCAAAGTCTCCATTAGCAGAAAAAAGTCTCTAGATTTGGCGCTAGGAGCTTTTTAGAAATCAAAGTGCTAGAGGGTTCTGAAAAGTGGCTAAATATAGCGACTAAAGCGCTAAGTTGGCAACACTGCTCTTTGCATGGTTTGTTTTCAAATGGTTTGCTGCTGTCTGTTTGGACCTTTCTGAACATGTGCAGCAAATGGACTGTTTCTCAAAAACATAATTAATGTGCAGAAATAAGAAATAGTTGTATAATTATACATGTAAACAGAGTTTTATGGGGCCCCCAGGAACTTGGGGCCCTCTGCAACTGAATAATAGATGCCAACAGAAGCTGTTTTCCCTGAAGGACGAGGCGAGAAAATGCTGATCTTTACTGTTTTATGTCAGTTTTACAAATAAAAATCTGTTGGCAAAATGATTTCTCGTTTTATTTCTCTAATTCCTCGTCTCTTGATGCCTCATAATATAAATCTCTGTTCTATCATCTGAGTGCAGAAGTGAAGTATTTGTGGCAAAATCCTCTAGAAAAAAACAGTCTCAGATTTCCGTCTCTCACAGACGTTTGAAGCAAAGCTCTGGACTCGGCACTGCGACGAAACACGAGTCTTTGGCATTTTTAGACAACCTAACAAGCAAATGCCACCACACTTGGCCCAGCGGGGGTTCTGTCACTCCCCAAGGCGGTTTCCAATCAGCTGCAGTCCAGGACCAGACACGCATGCATATAACTGCGTCTAAAATGGTAACCTCAGTGACACTCTGCCTACCTTCGGCGACAGCTTTCTCTTGAGCGACAGTTTGATTGGAGGTCTCGTCTTTCAAGGAGTTTTCTCCTTTGTCTATCTGTTTCTGTGAAGGCTTGTGGAAACCCAGGAGGGTTGTATTTCACCCCCCTGAGCGCTGAACCAGAAGAGGAGGACAAAAGAACAATTCTCAAAGAGGCGCGGTGCAGACAGTGGCAACACTGATTGGACCAAATAAGCTGTCATTCTGGGAGGCTGCCACGTTCTTGGCAGCGTGAAAGTAATCGTACGGCAGCCGGAGTGATGCTCTGAGTTTTAGACGGGATTCTTGACGTCAACCGAGGAGGTAATTAAGCTGTTGGATTCAGGTGTGTTGGACCCGGGAGCTATTTAAGAGCTGCAGGATGTCAGCCCTCCAGAACTTGAGTTTGACATCCTTTCTTTAGAGCTTTTAGCACATTACTCAAGTTCTGGATCGGACGTGTTTCTCAGCCCGTTGCACAGATAAACTATGAGAGAGTCTTCAACTGATGAAGAGATGAAGAAGGGACCCCCTCATTATATATTGCATGAAATAATGTTATATAAAACTGGTCCTATAGTTACTCTGATTCCTGGTTGATGGGACAGGTGTTGTGAATGAAACGGTGCCCAGCTTAAAAGAGCTCCTGTGTGTCGCTGAATGTGAGCATTGATGACTGAAAGACATCTTCTGCCTCCATTTATCTGTTTGAAAAATCTAATCAAATCTGTGGAGCCCCTGTTGAAGAAGTCTGCACTTAAGCATCTATAATCATTCCTGAACCCGGGGGGTTAACCCCAAGTTCCAGGGGCCCTAGGATGCTAGCTGAATGTACTCTGTTTACATGTATAGTTAATATTTGATTAAAAAATCCCCCCCCCCCCCCCTTCAGTGTCCACCATATTGGATCAGTCCATTTGCTGCACATGTTCAGAAAGGTCCAAACAGACAGCAGCAAACCATTTGAAAACAAACCATGCAAAGAGCAGTGTTGCCAACTTAGCGCTTTAGTCGCTATATTTAGCCACTTTTCAGACCCCTCTAGCACTTTGATTTCTAAAAAGCTCCTAGCGCCAAATCTAGAGACTTTTTTCTGCTACTGGAGACTTTGGAGACAACATCTAAAAGCAGCGAACTCTGCTCTCCAGAGCGAGTAGATTGGTAACCCCGCCTCCTGTTCTCCTCTATCTTGTCTGCTGTCATGATTCATGCAGCTATTATTTAATCTAGGGATGCACGATATAATCGGCCCCCTATCGGTATCGACCTTAAAACTGAATATCGGACATCGGCCACCCCACCGATATTTAACCCGATATTTGATCAGCTTCTGAGTTACTAAAGTCTAAAAAAAAAAAAAATACTACTTCTTCTTCCTCAAAAACTTCTTTTTTACAGACTTAAAAACTTCTAAAGACGAGGGAAAAAATATTGATACATTAAAATATCCCAATATCTTCCTATGCTGCTATATTGCCATTTAAAAACAACATATCAATCTCTTTTACTAATGAAATATTGCTATATGTCATCATTATGCTACGAAATCCCCCGAAAATTCAAGAAATTTTGCAATATTTTTATATGTTGATATATTGACGCGGTATCGATCTATTTTACTAACAAAATCTCACAAGAATTTGCAAAATATCACGAGAGTTTGTAACAGAACGATGAAATTTCACCAGATTTTGAAAGTAAAATAGATCGATACCGCGTTTTTAAAAATCTATTTGATATCAGCATATGAAAATATATTTGAGTATATTATTTTTCAAAGTGTCAGAAATGGATAACAAAACTGCTATTTTCAATGACTACTTATTTCTGTCCAGCTTTAACATCGGTATCGATATCGGTTATCGGCTACATGAGTTTTAAAATATCGGCATATCATCCAAATGAAAAATGGAGAACAGATAAGCAGATCATGGCTTGTCTACAGTGAAAAGAAGGACTGGGTTATTTACTTTGGCCTTTTTGGAAACACAGGAAGGAGCAATCAGCTAAGTGAGCTTAGTGCTTGGAGAAAATCTTTCATTCCTTTAGAGACAGCATGAAAAGTCAGCTGAGTACAAAACATAGAGAGGAAAACAAGAAGAAAAGGGACGAGAAGAGAGGGACACAACCTAGAACAGATAATGGATGTCTATTCTATTAACATTTCTCTATCTGGAGAATGGGTCTGTTTGATGTGTTGTCTTCTCCATTCATAGGCCCCCTGCCTGTCTTTGCCTAGGGCCCCAAATTTCCTAAATCCCCCCCTGCATAACCTTTTTGTTTCTGAGCAAAAGGCACATAATCCTGGTGTGAAATATGCACAGCTATCAGAGAGAAAGGTTTTCATCAAACAGAGAAGATGGTTGGAGCAACAGCGCCCCAACAAGAAAAAATAGGTAAAAATAACATCCATGAGGACCAAAAGCAGCACATTGCCTCCATCTTCATCTAGTTCCCATAATGCATCCTGTTGTCATGCCACCATCTTTGACTGCGCGCTCCGTGTTAGAGGATTTAAAGTGTCCTACACCTTTTAACCGTGTCTCTGCTTCCACACCTGAATCCAACCACTGAACGACCTCCTCAGTTGCAGATAAGTTCTCCAGAGTCCTGCTAATCGCCGCATTATTGGACTCAGGTGTGTTGAAGCGTAACTAGACCCAGAGGACTGGATCCCCGCACTAAAAGGTGCCTTCAGACAGCAATACTCAGCGATTCCTGTTGCTTTTCCATGGTCATAACGTTATGCATGAAAGGTGTTTGTGTGTGCACCTTTACTCTCTTAAGTTTCCCTTTGTGATTG